TTTTCTGCACTGAGGTCCAGTCCTCAGATATCATTGCAGTGACACTGAGGAGAGGATAAATCGATTCCCAGCCGGGGCCACTGTCTGTGGAGATGGCACGGCCGCGCCACGTCTGGGTGGGTTTCCTCCCGGGACTCCGATGTCCTCCCGCATCCCGCGGATGCGCACACGAGGCGAACTGGCCCGTGTGCACTGTCCCCGTGGGAGTGAGCGTGTGGTGCGCCCGGAGAGGGAAGGGTGCCCTGTCCTGCGTGGGTCCCGCTGTGCACCCTGGGCTGCCGGGGTCGGCTCCAGCCGCCCGACCCTGAAATGGAACAAGTGGGTTGGAAAAGAATTCTCTTACTTGTCATTTATTCATCTTTCTTAATTGTGCATATAGCTCATACTTATTTTAATGTTTAGTATTAGAAGTGTTTGGGGTCTTTATTTAGAAGTTTGGTGATGTTCCTGGGACCAGAAATAGGTCATAGGAACCTAACTCTTGTTTCTATCAATCAGCCTGCTGTTTCTCCCAATCAGCCTGTGGTCAGATTGGTTTCGTTATGCGTTGTTTCGCTTAAAGTCGCAGTCTTTGGCTCGATGCTGTCGGACAGGCGGTGGGACTTTTCTGACACGAATTTCTGCAAACTGAGTAACAAAATCCACCCTGGAGGGTGGACAGCAACACCAAACTAGTCATACACATCACAGCCTCCGGGGACGAGCAGGTCTTTCCTGATACCACCGGCCACCTGCTGGCGCTACGCCCTCCAGGACTTGGCACACTCACTGGCGAAGGAGCAGGGTCCCTCCTTAACTTAGTGTAAAATACAGTAAAAATGAATCACTTGAACGTGCGCTCAGTAGGAGAAATGTCACCCAAAAAGGGCAAAAAATGGTTCTGGGAGGGGGTCAAACATATCTTACTCTTTTTCTATGTCAAGCAGAAATATGCACAAATACCTGAACAAATATACAGTATATCTGTCATATTAAAATTTCACAGGGGGAGGGGTGATTAGTAGAAAAATGTCAAAAAGACAGAGGGAGAGAGGGCCGCATTCCAGGGGAGAGGGAGGACCCACCCCTGACCTTTAAGGGTACAACAAGGAAGTTGCACACATTAATCCCTCTATCCTTTCTTTTAAAGATTTTATTCATTTTTAGAGAGGAGGAAGGGAGGGAGAAAGAGAGGGAAAGAAACAGTGTGTGAAAGAAACATCCATCAGCTGCCTCTTGCACACCCCCCAACCCCAGGACCTGGCCTGCAACCCAAGCATATGCTTTGACCAGGAATCGAACCAGCGACCTTTCTGCTTGCAGGACAACGCCCAACCCACTGAGCCACACCAGTCAGGGCAATTCCTCTATCCTTATCTAGAACTCTTCACATGGCCACACCAGCGAAAAGGGAAGCCTGGAGATGTGCTGCTTATTCAAATCAGCCATGTGCTCAGCTTAAAAGCAGAGATTCTGTTGATGTGAGAGAAAAGGGGTGAGTGAATATTGGGAGGCCCCTAGCAGGGCCTGCCACCATCACCTGAAAAGAGGATCTGTCCCTCCCTCTGTCTCTGCCTTCGCCAGCCCTCAGTAGGCACTCCACCAGCCAGCCAGAGGGAAGAAGTCAGTGTTCAGCATTCCAGCTCAAGGCGCGTCCTTTTACAGAACCCTCCGGAGACTGCATAGTGGCACAAGATTTTTGGGCCACGTGCCCTCTTCCTCCTGCGTCCTCTGTGACAGGGGACAGCTCTCCCTCTGCAGGGGCCCTGTGACTGCCCTCAGCAAAAGCAGTTTGTTCAGCTGTCCATTCTTCAGATTCTCCCAGGTCACAAAATGAAAACAAACAAGAGGTGTTTTGGACAAAGAGTCCCAAGGGGCTTTGTTTCCAAACCTGCCCTCAGGCATCATTTAGAAGGTTGACACAAAAGAAAAGAGAAATCAGGTGAGAAAACACTACATCCCAGAGACTTCCCAAGGCAGGTGTGTTCCTAAGTTTTGGCAAGTAGGATTGCCATGGTAACCAGGACCCCAAAAATAACCTTGAATGAAATAGGCTGGCCTAAGCCTTCCGCCAGATGTGTCTGGGCAGGCCTTTGTGGACAGAATGGGATTCCAGCATGCCGCGCTGCTGTGGACGGATTCTTGGGCTCTGGGCCTCCGACAAGCTCCCCCGTGTCGTGGAGCTCAGGAGAGGGCGCCCAGGGGTGGCCGTGTTTCTGTCTCACTGTCTTTATCTGGCTAATTCCTGCTCATCCTTCAGAAATAGTTTGGATGGCATTTCCTCTAGGAAGCCTTCCCCGGCTCCGCCCCCTCCCACCCCCAACAAGTGGGCATTACAGAGCCCTTCCCTGTGCCCCCCCAACTTCCCGTGAAAGCACTTCCTGGCGGCTTCTCCCCTGACCTCCCAGGGCCCAGCGCACACCCCTGTTGCCCCCACACGTGGATATAGTTTCTTTTGTAGATTTGCCTTTGGAACCATTTCAATATTTAATACAATTACAAAACACATTTGAAAAAGTCATTCCAAAAATTTGACAGCAAAGTGTTATGAACCTAGTTGTACATTGAGTCAGTGGCATTACTACACCGAGAGGAGACTTAATTTAGCCGTATTTTTATGCTCGTCCTTTGTTTTCTTTCTTCTTGATGTTTCAAGATTCCTTTTATTTATAAATCTCTTGTTTCAAGAACTTTCTGTACCCATTCTTTTAGGGTAGACTTGCTGCAACAGGTTTTTAGTTTCCCTTCATCTGAGAATGTCTTGATTTTCTATTCATTCCTGAAGGATATTTTCTCTGGATGTAAAAATCTGAGTTGACATACTTAAAAAATGTTGTACCACTTCCTTCTGGCCAATAGAAATTGACAAGCTTATTCTAAAATTAACATGTAAATGTCAAATTTATACATAGAGGCCAAAACAATCTTGAAAAATAGGGACAAAGTTGGAGAACATACACTACCTGATTTCAAAACACTGTAAAGCTATAGTAATCAAGACAGGATGAAATTGGTATAAGATAGATACAGCAGATAGCTAGAGAGAACCAGAAGAGAATCCAAAAATAAACTCTCACACTTAATGTCAATTAATTTTTAGCAGAGGTGCCAAGTAATTCAGTGGAAGAAAGAATAAAGTTTTCACAGTGGTGCTGGAACAACTGCCTATCCATATGCCAAAAGGTTAATTTAGACCCTCACCTCATATCATACACAGAAATTAATTACATTAAATCATGCTCAAATGTAAGAGCTAAAACTATAAAAGTTTTAGAAGGAAACATGAGAAAGAATTTTAATGACCTTGTGTTAGGCAGCAAAAACAAGATCTATAAAAGAAAAAAATCATAACTTAAAAACTTTTGTTCTTCAAAAGACACCATTGAGAAAATGAAAAGACAAGCTGCAGACCAGGAGATTGTACTTTCAAATCACATATGTGGCAAAGAACTTGTACCCAGAATATATAAGGAATTCTTGCAGCTCAGTAACGAAAATAAAACTAACTTTTTTAAGGGGTAAAAGATTTGAAAAGATCTTTATCACAGATATATGAATAGCTCATAAACATAAAAAGATGCCCAACACAGTTAGCCATTAGAGAAATGCTATTTTAAACCGCAATGCGATGCCACTCCGCGCCTACTAAATAGCTCTCATAAGAAAGGCTGAGCAACGGAAGTGCTGAGGAAACTGGAACTCCCGTACGTTGCTAGTGGGAAGGCAACACGGGCAAAATGGCCCAGCTACTTTGGGAGATAGTTTGGCCCGTTCTTAAAAAATGAAACATACTCTTATCACCTGACTCCACAGTGCTACTCCCAGGGATCTGCCCAAGAGAAATGGAAACATATCCACACAAGGACATGTATGCAAATGTTCGCAGCAGCATTAATCCATAATAACCAAACATTAGATGTGGTACATCCATACCGTGGAATACCATTCAGCAAAGAACTCCTGATACCCAGTAAGACACGGATGAGCTTCGAAAGCATTATGCACAGCAAAAGAGGCCAGGTACAAGGGCATGTGTATGATCCCAGTTCCATGAAATTTCTAGAAAAGGCAAAACTCTAGAATCAGTAACAGATTAGTGGCTGCCTGAGGCTGGAGATGAGAGTGGGGATTGACTGAAGTAAGCGCAAGGGAACTCTAGGGGTGATGGAAATGTTTTAAAAATGCATCATAGTGACATCAGTTTTTTACTTTAAAAGTCATTCAACTGACACTTAGAATGGGGGAATTTTACAGCATATAAAAGACACCCAAGCAAAAATAAATAAATAAATAAAGCAGCATTCTTTGCAATAGCCAAAAGGCAGAATCAACCCAAGTGCCCATCAATGGATGAAGGGATAAACAAAATATGGCGTATACATATAATGGAATATTATTTAGCCAGGAGAAGGAAATTCGGACAAGTGTCATAACATGGAAGAAACTTGAAGATGTTATGCTAAATGAAATAAGCCATCACAGAAGGACAAATACTGTATGATTCCACTTACCTGAAGTACCCAAAGTAGTCAGATTCATAGAGACAGCGTAGAAGTGTGGGTGCCGGGGCTCAGGGCAGGGGACACGGGAGTTTTGTTTAATGGGTCAGCAGTTCTAGCTTTGTAAGATGTAAAAAGCTCTGGGGATGGACAGAGGCAATGGTTGCACCGTGAAGTGAATGTACTGAACACCACTGAACCGTACACCTAAACAAAACAGAATGGTAAATCTTACGTACATTTTCCGCAATTTTTTAAAAGCATAATTATCTATGACCAGAAACTATGTTGTATACACAATCTCATTTACTTCTCACCACTATTCTTCAAGGAGATATTGTTTATTTTATTCATTCATTGAAAGAACTGAGGTGCAGAGAGATTTGATAACCTGCGAAGGTCACAGGTTCTATCCCAACCTGCCAGACCTCAAAGACCCCACCCGTCTGCTGCATCCTGCTCCCGCACGACCCCCTCTGATTGTAAGCAACCTCACCTGACCCGCTGCCCCTTTTCCCACAGGCACGGCGGGGATCTATCAAGGAGCAAATGGACTGACCAGCGCGGCCGGATTCGGAAGTGTGCACCAGGTAGGCCCGCCAGTTGTTGTCGCAGTTCTTCCTTAAAGAGTCCCCTTAAATCGGGGCACCCAGAATGTGTCCTCCTGCCCACGCCCCCCACCAGAAATCCAGTCTCTTGTTCCCCGAGTTTGGATACTACAGGGAGATCGTGTAAAGGGCCCTTGGAAAGATACAGTGTAGAGGCAGAGAAATTGGAACTCCTAGAAGATGACAGAGGCGATATTGACCTGAGACCAAGACCCCCACTAACTTGTCGAATCTAGAATATATGAATGCAAGTGTGTGTGCCCTTTTGCAGACTGTGAGCTCCTCAAGGGTAAAAGTCTATCTTCTTCGCCTCTGTATCCCAGTGTGGAGCACCCAGCACACAGTGGGGGCTTTGTTAATTCTAGTTAAATCGAACTAAGTCAACATTGTAAAGGTGAATGCTGGCTCATAGTTTGATTCTCTTGGTTTCACTGAGAGAGTGAATTAAGAATTAACCTGCTGAAGATGTACCGGAACTCTGCTACCTGTGCACCTTTGCTCTCAGTCTAAAATTAGTTCAAAACCAAAGATTAACATCCTTTCAAGCTAGTGTTAAAAGTAACCAAGGTAGCCCTGGCTGGGTAGCTCAGTTGGTTGGAGCATCATCCCATATACCAAAAGGCTGCGGGTTCAGTTTGTGGACAGGGCACATACCTAGGTTGCAGGTTCGATCCCTGCTCGAGGTGCATACGGGAGGCAGCCAACCAATGTTTCTTACATCAGTGTTTCTCTCTCTCTCTCTCTCTCTCTCTCTGCCCCCCCATCCCCCCCCATCCTGACCCTTCCTCTCCCTCTAAAATCAATAAACAACCTCAAGTGAGGGTTAAAAAAATAAAAATGAAAGAACTACCCAAGGTAGATGGGCTTTAGGAATATTTAACATATTTAAAAATGAGGGATGCACTATTTCTTCAGTGAGCTGAAGAATGTAAATAGCTTAAATCTTGGAATACATGAAATACTGTTTTTTACCTTTTTGTATTATTTTCAGTATACTGTATACAGATAAAATACTCATAAATACAGGTGTACTATTTAAGGCATGGTTCTTTACTCTGGGTGTTGGTTGACTTCACCATGGGAGCTTGCCAAAAACGCAGACGGCCTAAGTGCCACCCCCAGAAGTTCTGAGGCAGCAGGTCCATGGTGGGCCCAAGAAGCTGAACTTCCCCTGCGTTCCTCGCAGGGCTGAGAAGCTCTGGTTCATGGTAATGATGAAGCAGAATGTTTAAAACAATGACTGCTGAGGGAGAGTTGGAATATCTGGATGGTTTAAGCAAAGCCTGATGAAAAAGGACTGGCATTCTTTGATTTGATCTCCAAAACGCCCTCATGGAAGATTCTAGATCCCTAATACCATGCAGGTACACCCCCTATGGACCTAAAATGTCGCCTAGTCTCCTTGGTATGTGAGTGTGGAGTCTTTATTATTCATTCATTTGTTAATTAATATCCAAGTGTTTATTGAGTGCCTGCAGGAGCCTGTCACTGTGCCAGGCCAGGGATACCGCAATGAGCAAGAAGGATGCTGTTGGGCCACACCTCTGTCCCTCAGGGGCACCCACTGACCTCCAGTGGCCAGTATCTGCATCCCGGGGCCCAAGAGTGTTTTCTAGAACCAGTCCTAGGGCAGGCGGGAAGAGCCAGGGAATTGAAACCCCATAGGAGCAGCTCGCATAGCCTGCCTTGAGCTGGCACAGGAACAGCCCAGCTTCCTCGCTCCCTGGAGAGACCCTTTTGAGATGTGTATTGTACACCATCCCAGCGTTTCTCCGGGAGATATCACTCCAGTCCCCGCCTAAAAGCCCCTGGATTGGCTGCTTTCCCCTCTTCGCTACTTCACTTCTCTACTCCTCAAATGGTATCTCTTTCATCCCCCATCCTTCTCCTAGGGTCTGCTTCTGGGGCAAGTCCCTGCCCTCAAGTAGCATTTGTTGTAATGGGTGGCAGAGAGAATAGACCCATCCCATGAGGCCCCTCGCCTTCGTCAGCCTGTGACCGGCCCACGGGGGACCCAAGTCCCGACCCACTTCCTCACTCACCTCCTGTGCGTTTCCCTTTGCAGGACTACCCTTCCTACCCCAGCTTCCCTCAGAGCCAGTACTCCCAGTATTACAGCTCCTCGTACAACCCGCCTTACGTCCCGGCCAGCAGCATCTGCCCCTCCCCCATCTCCACGTCCACCTACGTCCTCCAGGATACGTCGCACAGCGTCCCCAACCAGAGTTCTGAGTCACTTGCGGGTAGGTACAGTCACTGTCACATGGTCGTTCATGGCTGTGGCCTGCGCTCTTACAGGAAGGAGGGACCAGATGTAGGTCCCAATTTTAATGAACTGGTCACCCAAGGGCTAAATCCAGCCTTCAGATGTATTTTGTTGGCTTTTCTCTCTGTGCGTGTATGTGTGGCGTATATTTAATTGCACCATATTTAAAAGTCAATTTTTTACCTAAAAATTCTAATTTTAACCTATGAAACCCACCGAGATGACGAGCGCCACTTAGGAAAGGCCATATCCTGGCCCCTTGGTGATGTGTATCCCCCTGTGCAGCCAACTCATCAGCTGGTGGGTTCATTCGCTCCGCAAGCCTTCTATGCACATGGCTTCTCCTCCATGAGATGGTTTGGGTGTATCGACATTAAATGACATGACAGCAATAAATTAGAACATCCAAACAGAAAGAAATATTACTGGCTTTTTTTTTTTAATGCCTTAAACCTACTGATGTTACAGAACTCCGTAGAAGCTAAGCTAGCATGATGGTGTGTGGACATTGATTCAATAAATATTAATTGGTTGATGGTTAGAAAAAGAATAGTGAAGACCTACCTCTTTGGTTCCTATTGTTTTTGGTGCGGTTGTTGCTTTTAGCCCTTGTATTTTTTCTCCCTGGGGGTGAATTAATTGTCCTCCAATTGGTGATAAAGGGAGACGATGTGGCCAAGCACTGTTAAGTCAACTTTTGAGGAAATTTAGGGCTTGAGCATTGATTTTGGTCACTGTGATCTCATTGTAGAGTATTTAATGAATGTATCATATCTATTTAACCATTTCCAAATTGCTTTCTTTGAAGGGTATGAAATTTAACAAAATTTTTTTTGTCATAATCCTGAAGTGTCTTGGACCATCCAGCTTTTCAGAATGTGACCTCCCCAAACTGGGTTCAGAAAGGATATAAAATTAAGAAATCAATCAAGTGCCTGTCTACCTGTAACTTGATGATGAACTGAATTCCAAAGGCTGACTTCACAGGAATTTGGGTTATGTGGGAAGGTCGCTTTTGTTCCTCATCAGGAGCAAACATAAAGGCTCCTTGTGTCTCTGATATTTTTCTTGTTGTTTCCCCTCTTCTTCATTTATTCCTGGGTCTAAGGTTCAGTGATAAGTGGTTGAGATGGTTTTTATTGTGTGTCTAACAATGCTCACGTAAAATCTAATGACAAATAATCATCAGCTATGGCCAAGATCTCTTGTCCCCTGTCCCCAGCATTTGTTGTAAAGGAAGAGCACATGCACACAGGCACACACACTCACACACGCTCTTAAAATTTCCCATAAAAGCTCCACTTTTGAAATTATCCAAGATCTCCTTGAGTGGTTGGTTCCAAACCCCAGCAGCTCAAGAGGCTGATGTTAGACGGCCAGCTCACGCTCGCTCTGCATCACCTGACGGTCCCCCCCGGCCCCCGCCCCCAGCCCCACCACAGGGCAGCCTGCATGGACGTGCATTAACAGTTACTCGAAGCCCCAACAATTTGCAGATGATTGCAGGGCAATTTGCTGATGTAGAGGGCGAAACCTGAACATCTGACGTTCCTCAAGAGAAAAGACAAATCAGTAGTGGTGGCTTAAAAACTTTTTTCTTTTAAAATTTGTAAGTATGATACAAATTATCTAAAAAGAAGTTGGAGGGTGTTTTTTTTTAAACTTCTTAGATCATTTCCTTTAGTCAATAGAAGGAGAAACTTTTTTAAAAATCTCTGAAGAAGAAACTTGGAAGGCTCTTCTGTGCAGTTTGGCAACCTCTAACAAAATTTAAAATGCTTGTACTCTTTAACCCAATTTTTCTACGTGTAGGAATTTATTCTAAAAATAAATTCCCCCATAGGTCCAATCACTTAAGTAAAAAGAATATTTATTGCAGCAGCATCACAGCAAAAGCCTGGAGATAACCTGAAGATCCATTAACAGGAGTTGGGTTAAATAATTTAGAGTGTATCCACCAGTGACATACTATACGTCTGTTAAAAAGAGTAAACTAGATATATCTACACTAATATGGGTCTCTCATTGAGTGATTATTAGAGATGGAAAAAAAAAGGTATAGAACAATGGGTATAATATGACCATGTTGTTTGGGTTTTTTTTTTAAGTATAGTTTGAAGCCCATATTTCCAAGAAGTTTCTGGAAGGATTAAAAAGCAATGGTTAACATTTTCTCTGGGGAGGGAACTAGAGTGGAAAGAAAAAATTAGCTATAAGAGACAGGCTATAGTCCACTTCATTCAACAACAACAAAAGACTTTTTTTTTTAAAGAACACAGGAGACATTTACCAACATAGACATATTCTGGGCCTTAAATCAAGTTTCATTATTTTCAAAGGATTCAAGTCCTAAAAATAATGTTCTCTGAAAACAGTAGAATGAAATTAGAAATAAATAACAGAAATGTTCTTGGAAGATTCCCAAATATTTGGGAGCTAAATAACACACTTTTAATAGCCCTTGTGTGATGGGTAATTTTGTGGGTCCACCTGACCGGGTCAAGGGATGGCCGCAAGGCTGGTAAAACGTCATTTCTGGGTGTGTCTGTGAGGGAGTCTCTAGAAGGGATGAGCACTTGGATCCGTAGGCTGAGTTAAAAAGGTCACTGTCACTGCTGTGGGTGGTCATCATCTAATCCATTGAAGGCCCGTAGAAAACTGAGAGGCAGAAGAAGGGCTATCTCACTTGCTTCTTGAGGTAGGATGTCCATCTTTCCCTGACCTCAGACACGAGGGCTCTTGGTTTTCTGGCCTTTGGACTCCAGAACTGACATCAGTGACCAGCCAGGTCTCAGATCTTCAGCCTCTGACTGGGAGTTACACCATCAGCCCCGCTGGCTCTCAGGCCTTTGAACTCAGACTGAATTATGCTGCCACCTTTTCTGGTTCCCCAACTTGCAGATGGCAGATGGTGAGACTTCTCAGCCTCTGCAACCGTGTGAATCCATTTATATAATCTCTTTCTCTCCATGTATATATGATATACATATTATGTTGGTTTTGTTCCTTTGGAGAACCCTAGCACACCACGAGTCAAAGAAGAAGTCAAAGGGAAATTAAAAATTATTTTGAACTTAATGAAAATAAAAACACAACTTATCAAAATTTATGGGATGTTGCAAAAGCAGTATTAAAGGGAAATTTATAGCACTGAATGAATGTATTAGAAAAGAAGAAAGGCCTTAAACCAAAAACTTCACCTTCCACCTTAAGAAAGTAGAAAAAGAAAGGCAAATTAAACCCAAAGTAAGTATAATAAGGAAAGTGAAGATCAGAATAGAAATCAAGGAAATCCAAAAACAAGAAAACAATTTTTTAAAAATATCAGCAAAACCAAAAGCTGGTTCTTTGGAAAGATCAATAAAATTGATAAAACACTGGACAGGCTGATACAGGGGGAAAAAAGGAGACATAATTACCAATAAGAGGAGAGAGTTGACATCACTATAGACCTTACAAATATTAAAAGGAAATAGTGAAATTTTTTTAAACAATACCATGCCAATAAATTCAACAACTTAGATAAAACAGACAAATTTCTTATAGGACAAAAACTTCCAGAGCTCACTCAAGAAAACATAGCTAGCCTAACTAGGCCTATTTCTGTTAAATAAATTGAAAATTTTTGTTAAAAGTCATCCCACAGAGAAATTGCCAGGCCTTGATATCTTCACTGATTAATTCCAGTAAAGATTTAAGTAACAAATATCACTTCTGCATGAATTCTTCAAGAAAACTGAAGACAAAGGATACTTCCCAACTCATTCTATGAGGCCAGCATAACCAGACACTATCATTATAAGAAAACTAAAGACCAATATCCTTCATAAACATAGATTTAAAAATTTATGAACAAAATGTTACCAAATCAAGTTCAGCAATATATTGAAAGATAATACACCACGATCAAGTGGAGTTTATCCCAAGGATGCAAAGCTGGTTTAAAATTTGCAAATCAATATAAGTTGCCATATTAATTAACCAGAAAAAAAAAACAAAGAGAGTGTCACAATATATGCAGAGAAAGCATCTGACAAAATCTATCATTCATTCCTGAAAAAATTCCTAAGTAGGCGTGGAAGGGAACTTTATCAGGAAAAGACGTGTTATAGAAAGAGTGTTTGTATCTCTACCTCAAATTCATATGTTGAAGCCCTAGTTTCCAGCAATGATGGTATTTGGGTGGAGCCCACATGAATGGTATTAGTGCTCTTATAAGAAGAAATATGAGAGAGATGGTATGTCTCTTCCCACCATGCGTGGATACAGCAAGAAGGCGTCCATGTGCAAACCAGGAAGAGGACTCTTACCAGGAACGAAATTGGCTAGTACCTTGATCTTGGACTTTGCAGCCTCCAAAATTGTGGGAAATAAATTTCTGTTGTTTGTCACTCAGTCTATGGTATTTTTGTTACAGCAGCCCAAACTGATTAGAACAGGACATCTACAATTTAAAAAAAAAAAAAAAAAAAGCTTCCCCTCAAAGATTAGAAACAAGACAAGAATGTCCACTCTTACCAACTCTACTCAACATTATACTAGAGATTAAAGCCAGTGCAATATGTTAAGAAAAATAAATTAAAGCATCCATATTGGAAAAGAAGCAGCAAACCTTCATAAAGTAAAAAGAAGTAAAATGGCATGATTACCTATGTAGAAAAATCAGATATAATCTACAAAAAAAGCTACTAGAACTAAAATATGAGTTTAGCAATGTTACAGAGTACCAGGTGAATATATAAAAATCAGTTGTGTTTCTATATACTAACAACAAACAGTAGAAAATAGAATATTTTAAAATGTCATTTATACTTACATCAAAAAATATGAAATACTTGGTGATAATGACAAAATATGTGCAAAACTTGTACACTTAAAACTATAAAAGACTACTGAGAGAAGTTAAAGAAGAATTTAATAAATAAAGAAATATGCCTTGTTCATAGGTCAGTAGACTTATATTGTTAAGATGCCAATTCTCCACAAATTGATCTGTAGATTTAACATAATATCTGTCAACATTCCAGGCTTTTTTGTAATTGGAAAGATGATTCTGAACTTCACATGGACATACAAAGGACCTAGAATAGCCTCAACAACTCTGATATAGAACAAAGTTGGAAGGCACACATGGTCTGACTTTAAGTATTACTACAAAGCCACAATGATCAAGACAGTATGGCATCAGCATAAATAGACAAGTTGATCAGTAGACCAAGACAGAGAGTTCAGAAATAAATCCACATGTGTATGGACAACTGTTTTTTGACAAAAGTTTAAAGCCAATTCAATAAAAAAGGATAATCTTCTCAACAAAAGATGCTGGATGACTACAGATACAAAAGATGCTGGATATCTGTAGTCAGAAAAACTGTACTTCAGTCCATACCTCACATGGCACAGAAAAAAATAACACAAAATATATTGTAGACATAAATATAAAACTTCTATGAGAAAACAGGAGAAAATATTTGTGAATTTGTGGTATATCCATATATTAGAACAGTACCCAGGAACACAAAAGAATGAACTATCCATACACACGACATGGATTGAATCTCAGAACAATTGTGCTGGCTGAAAGAAGCCCGGCAAATATACACCCTGTGTGATTCCATTTGTTTAAAACTCTAGAAAATGCAAACTAATTTATACTGAAAGAAATAAGATCCATGGTTGCCTGTGAGGGTGAGAGGAAGAGATTACAAAGGGGTTATAAAGAAATTTGGAGGTACTGGATCTGTTCTTTATCTTGACTCTGATGATGGTTACATAGATTTACACATATGTCAAAAGTTATCAGATTGTGTGCTCTAAATACATATGGTTTATTGTATGTCAATTATACCTCAATAAAGCTGTTGAACAAGTAAACACATAAGAAGGGAGAACTAATAAGAGTCAAATGACTCCAAGAAAGGTTTACATAGATTGCTACAGCCCATGCGCCTGACTGTGACCTCTAACTTTGACCCTTCATTCTCAAGAATGATAATGTTGGGGAAAGGGCTGGGTTTTTGTTTTTGTTTTGGCATCTCTCATAAATTGGCTTTACATACACCTTATTTAGATACTTCTAGGTAGCTGGCATTTTCCCCACTTTTTAATAATATTTGCATGGATTTTAATGGTGTCTACAAATGTCTTTTCCTAAGCTCCCATCCTTAGAACTACCAGTTTACTTAGAACTAGTAAATGAGGATAAACCTTCTTTACATGACTCTTAAGCCTCTTTGAACATATTTACTGCCTGTTCCTCACCCTCCAGAAGAAAGTCCTTGCTGGATCAATGTTTGGGAATCTCAAATGCTGTCCTGAAAACGATGGCGAGTTGGAGACAGCCCAGCAGCCCCAACAGCTCAGAACCATGTCTTCCCTTAATACTATGTCCTTAGTCTGCTCAGAAGCTTTATAAATAATATTAAACAAATGAAGTTCAGTCCTTTGGGTTTTGGATGGAATAGTTCTTCCAGGACAGGAAAAATATTCAGTCCATGGCCAAGTATTTTTAGACAAAAGCATTTCCCCCCGATGAGCCAAGCCCTGGCAGCGAGGGAAGGAGAGGTGGGGTCCACAGGATGCATTTGGGAGCTGAGCCGGCAGCTGGGCACTGAGAAAGTGGGAGAGGATGTCCTCCAAGGCTCCACGCTGGTCTGCAGTTCTGTCCCGCTAGTGACCAGGGCAGGCCCAAGTTTTAGTTCCGATTCTACCATTCATTTGCAGGGTTACCACAGACTTCCGTCTTCTCACGAAGCCTCAGTTCCCTCGTTACTGAAATAAAGATAATAAAGTCTCATTTTTAAAGCCATGTATTGAAGCTCTATGTACTTCAAAAAAACAATACAACTTGGGTGCTGGCTTTGGGACCTGGGTCCCAGGAGGGTCCTGCTGCTCACTGTTCAGGGTCCTTAGACAGTTGCCTGAAGGCATGAGCTCAGCAGCCTCTCTCTACACCCCTTCTCGTCCCCCTCCCCACACCGTGACCAAAAACACCATCTTGATGAGAAGCAGCCAGTGCCACCCTCTGCCCTGCACCTTCACACTGACCCTGAGCGTACATGGGTCCCATGGAGCCAGACTCAATTCAGATCATATATTGACCTCTAATTGCCAGGTCTGTGCTGGATGCTTTTGAGTATAAAATCTCATTTAATTCTTGAATGGACAAATCTCACCAAAAGTAAAGATTAAAGGACTTCTTTTAATAGAGAATGGGACAAACTGCATATGGATGGGAACATAGAGAATTCTCCAACACCCCTTAACCCCAGGGGAGGGGGTCTCCTAATGGTAGAAGAATTTTGAGGCCCTGCTACATATCAATATCTATTTTTCCCTCTATTAATCTATTAGCTCCCCCAGCGGTCCCACCCTCGCTTTACTCAGATCCCTGCTCAGATGTCCCCTTAGCCATGAGGCCTTCTCTGCCTAGCCCCGTATGAATTAGCCACCACCCCACACTCCTTGTTCCCACATGCAATTTAAAGTCTCTCTAACCCGTATCCCCACCTGGCACATAATATATTTACTTGCTTATCTAATGTCTCTCCTTTCTCGAGAATTGAGGTGCTATGAGAATTTAGGTGCCTGGAACTATGCCTACTCAGTAAATTTTTGTTGGATGAATGAATGAGTATGAATGGGCAATTTAAGGGACAGGCAAGAGTAATTTGACTCTACGTGATCTTTGCCTTTGGTGCTGCCTTTAGGACCTACTACTTTGGCGTTAGATGGTTCTGATGTGAAATTTCCCAGGAGACACTCAACAAAGCTTCCCTTTCTTCCACCAGGTGAATATAACACACACAACGGACCTTCCACACCAGCCAAAGAGGGGGAGACAGACAGGCCGCACCGGGCCTCCGACGGGAAGCTCCGAGGCCGGTCTAAGCGGAGCAGTGACCCCTCCCCGGCAGGGGACAACGAGATCGAGGTAACTCCAACTGCCTCTGACATGGTGAATGTCATCTCCACCTGTGGCCACAACAGGAGGGCAGGGGACAGAGTTCTGTCCAAGTATGTGAGGGAGAATGGCCCTTTGTGTTCACAAAGCACAGTCACAGAGAAAAGAGCACTTGGGGGAAAAGCAGGGAAGAATAGGCTGGCCATACGGAAACACTGCTGATTGATGGGCTGGGAAATGTGACCCTGGAGACAGTAAAGAACAATGTGGTTCTCAGGCCTAAGCAGCGGCAGCATTACCTGGAGGCTTATGAAACCGTCTTCTGGGCCCCGCCCCGGAGTTTCCAGTTGAGCAGATCTGGGGCGGAGCCTGAGAATTTGCTGCTGATACTGCTGGGTTGGGGCCCACAGTCTGAGAGCCCCTGATGGAGGTGACGATGGGCAGTGGACCCTCCCAGCTGGGTTACAGTGGTTCTGAACCCTGGCTGCACATTACAGTCACCTGGGTTGCTTTTTAAAATACAGATGCCCAGGCCCCACCCCGGAGTAATTAGATAGATGTCACCGGGAGTTCTTAAAGCTCCCCTTGTGATTCTAGTTGGCTTAGATGTCTGCCTACCTGGAGACAGGAGGCTGGCGCGAGTAAGTGTGCACGAGACTCTGAGTTTCTCAGACAGTAGTTCTCAAGCTAGGCTGCACCTTAGGATCTCCTGGGGAGCTCTGAGAAACCTTCGTTCTCCAGCTGAACCCCAGATCCATTAAATCAAATTCCCTGAGGGTGGGACCCAAGCACTGGTACTTTTCAGCTCTCCTGGGAATGCCAGTGTACATGCCAGGCTGGGAACGGCTGGTCTAAGGGATGCACCAATCTACTGTTGTAAAGCAAGTGTAGAATTATTGGTCAGGCACTGACATTCTCCAAAAAAAGAAAGTGGGGAGAGTACAGAGGCCAGATGGATGCCCAAAAACACAGAGAGAAGCAACTGTTGTCTATCAAGGGCGAAAAATAGGCATGTACCCTACTTAGTACTTCTTTGCAAAACGCAGTCATTCATTGCCATGAGTGTGCGGTAGGTATGTGTATGTCAAAGCCAGCGTCAGTGCCAAGAAATCCAAATGTATCATCACCACATCCCTGTTCCTAATCCTGTCCAGCCGAGGCAGCAGCCACAAAGCTCAGCCCACACATTCAGATATGCTAACAAATACCATTTTCATTGTTTCCTTAAAATCAAGGTAACTTTGACTCTGAGGCCCCATCCCATCTGGGTGGTAGAAAACGCCATCTTATCAGGGCCCCTCACCTCCCAGAATCGTGTGAGATTCCCAGGGTTCAAGCAGCCTCAGAAAACAGGGTGAGAGTCTCTAATGTCCAGCGTGGCTTCGTCACTGCCACCTTCCCCCCAGTCAGTGCCTGCGGTGGTCAGGAAAGGTCCGGCCTGGGTTTTCCATGCTGTGCATCGGGCACAGAAATCCTATTGAGGACAAGAACCGTGGAGGGTTAGCTACCATCTTTGGGTTGTCAGCAACAGAAAGCATTTCCAGTTACTTAAGCCAGAAGGGATTCACTGGAAGGAAGTCACGAAACCAGGGTTAGAAAGAGCAGTCACAGAGGCTGTGCTGAGGAATTCAGGGAACCTTCAAGGTGCCAGCAGGAGAGTGAACCGTTTGGTTCTAAGACCACCTCTCTCCATGTTCGGTTCTAGGGAGGCAGCCGCCCCCTGGCCTGGCTTAGCTCTTATGCTTGCTCCCAATTGACAGTCCCACCAAGATGGCACGCAACGGGAAAGAAAGCCGGTGCTCTTATCAGGAGGGGGTGTACTCTGGGGGCCCAAATAACATGTGCTCACTGCGGGGCATACGGTATTTAACCAGTATTGACTAGTAGAGCAGTACTAGTTAGCCAGTATTCACTAGTAGGGCTATATTGCTTAGCCAGTGTTCACTAGGCAGGCTGTAGTAGTTGTTTACAACTGGCTGCTGTTCCAGTCATCCTAGGTGTGAACTATTTGGAACATCACGCTTGTCCTCTACATTTGGTCAGCTTCCAGCAGCCACACCTCTGAGAGCTGACCACCCCGCGGACCTGCCACAGAGCAAGTGTTCCCACTGCTCATGGGACTATTCTCAACCCAGGGGACTTTGTTCTTGCTTTTCCTTTCATTTGTAAAGGCCCCTGTCTTCCAAAAGTGAAGAGACTTCACACAATTCCTTCCACAAAAGGCAAGAGGAAAAATGCTTTGACTTCAGGTTGTCCTTGCTTTCCACCTTCCATATTTTCTGCCAGCCCGAAGTTGCACAGCTATAGAAACCACAGAGAGCAACACATACTTTAATACTTCAAAACGTTACTTTATCACCTAATGAGGTTTCTGCCCTTAGTAGGGAAGAGTGGGGGTAGAGAAACGTTTTTCCATTCAACGAAGGAGGTGGAGGTGGCATGGAAGGTGGGGATTACAGGGTGATGTTATTCTGGAAACATCTGCTTCTTGATTCTAGAGTCAGAACCACTGGGCAAGAACAGTTGAAAAGGTGTGAGCTGTGTTTCACTTCTGTGCTTAATGTCAGCAGGTGGGGTTCGCACGGGTCACACCTCTTAAGTCTTCGGCAGTTTTGCTAATGACGGAAGCCCACGAGAGAGAAATTATGTACCGAAGTGGAAAGGAGGGAAATTCTGAGCGTATATTAGTTTAAATCCCTTGGCTGCAGGTGCCAGAAACCAACCTGAGCTGGCTTAAACGAAAAAGCAGAACTTATTTTAAGGATACAAGGATTCTCACAGAACCTGAGGGCAGGGTACAGTGGAGTATCAGCAAGATACTGGAACCACAGGTAGACGGGGCAAGGAAGTGCATTTACGCCTGTCCCCCCACGTGCCACAGTGAAGGTGCTAGAACCTCTGAGCAGTGTGTCTTTTCAGTGTCGCCATGCGCAGGTGACTGGGCACAGCTCATTCCGCTTCTAGCTAAAGCCAGGTCCTGCAGAAGTGTTGTCTTTCCGTCGTTCACCCCTTTGGTCCCGCCTCTCTGCACGCTGGCCCGCCCTGTCCTTCACGTGTGGCCACCAACAACCACCCAGAGATGATGAACGTCCTTCTAGGCCCCAATTTTAGTGCCCAAGGAAAGGCCTCCAACCCGACTGGACGTAGGGACCCACCCTATCCCAGATCCCAGAGAGCTAGGGATTAGGGTCACCTGTGGAATGGCCACCAGGAACTGACCCCCTGAGGATCCAGGGCAGGAGGACAGAGTGGTGGGGAAAGGGACAGCTCTTCCTCAGAGGGGCTGTCGTAGGTAAAGCAGTTGAGCCTGTGCTAAATTTGAAAATATTTGCTGATTTTTAAAAATTCTCAACAAAATTTCTAAGTGTAACTGATCCAACCTAGTTAGTTCAGATAAATTAAGACTCCCAGAAGCCCTCTTTAAAAATAGTGGTTTCTAAATTTCTTTTTTTTTTTTTTTTTTTTTTTTAGCTGTGATCCAAAGTAAGAACTATACTTAATATCATGGCCCAGCATACACAGATACATAAATGTATAACTAGACCAAAATTTTCAGAAAATAATACTCAGGCCTGCTCATTGTTTGAAACCCCTGGCACTTACTGACCCTTTTCCATCTAGGTGCCACTCTTCTCTTTAGCTTTAAAGACGTGGCAAATGCTAATGCATAAATATATGCATTATATGTACCTCCAGAGAGGTTTCAAAGGTGGCTCGTTGACTATGGCGCACTGAGCGGAGGCATTTGTCCCCACCCAGCCAACCTCCATCCACCCAAGACCAGCTCTATAAGGCCTTTTGTTCTTAGAAATCATGATCACCAGAAAAATGGAGAAAATCAACAGTATGAAAAACAAAATCCAAGGTAAATAAATAAGATAAAAGTCAAGAGAGATAATTTAAGAAACATCAAAGAACTTTTTAAAATTCTGACGGGTTCTCCTAGAAAGATTCAAGACCTTGCATTCTTAAATTAAGAAGTGGAGCTTGTAGACAAAGAATGAGGAAGTATAAATTTTTAAATGACAGCAAGAATCAAAAGTTTAATAGAAGATTCGGAAGAGAAAGTTTAAGAAATCTATCAGAACATAGACAAAGGATAAAATTATTAAAAAAAATACATTTTTTAAAGATACACAGTATTAATTCAAGATGTCTAAATTGAATATTGGAAATTCCAGAGAGAACAATGAAAATGATGGAAGGAAATTATTTAAAGAAATAAGATTGAAAAGGTGAACAGCGTGAATAAAAAAGAAAGATCACACCTTGATATGTCCTCATGGAATTTTGAGGATACCAAGTATAAAGAAAAGATCCTTAAAAAACTCCAGAGAAAGAAAGAAGTAAAACCAATAAAGGACTGAGGACCAGTGAAACATCAGACTCCTCATCAAGCACACTGGATGCTACAAGAGGATGGGGGAATTCTTTCAAAGAACGACAAGGCATTATTTTCCGATTGGCATTCTATACCCATAGGAACTGTAGAGACAAATTAAGGTATCACCAGATGTGTAAGAATTCCGGAAGATTATTTTTCTATGCACCCTTTCAGAAGAAGAAACTTAAGGATGTACTCACACAAAACAAGGAAGGAAACCAAGAAAGAGAGAGATTCAGGATCTAGGAAACAGTGGATCTGACTCAGAAAAAACAGTGAAGAGACGTCTCAGAATGCTAGCTATGCAGGAAGCCTAAAGATGATCGAGACCATGTTGGGGCGTCTGTCATGGAGGATGGACTTCTTTGATACCAAAGATGTGGCTGAATTTGAGATTCTAATGAAGGCACGTGATTGGAAACAAGAAAAGAATTGAAACAAGTAGTAAACTCCAGCAAAAGCGAAAAGTTATACTTAACAGGCATGATTCCGATGTGAACAAACTGAGTTATGGCATGATTTTCGTGGGCTGGAGTGCAAGAAAGGGGAATGCATATGGCCTTGATGGTAGAAACAGTCTTCTTAAGGTGGCTCTGGGGTTAGGACATTGGGCACATAGAGAAGAAAGTCAAATTCTAGCACATTACTTGGCTCTGCAGTCATCTTTACTGGTTACCAACTTTTAAACACAACGTAAAGGCAGAGCACAGGAGCCTGAAGTATAATTACAAAACCAAAAGCACAGACCAGTTCATCCACATTGACAGTGCAAAAGGAGGGCTAAAGCTGATAAATATCAGAGAGGGGAGGAGGTAAGGGAAAGCGTAGGGACTCCAATGTCCATATATTCCATATCGGGCTTACTGTTTTAGCCGAGGAAGACTATCCAAAGCTGATGGAATTAGGAAGAGAGGGATTCATATATGTGAAAAACATAAAGTGCTGGAGAAATGGTGGAGATTACCATGAGCTAAACCCAAATTTTCTAGATTGCCAAGTCAAAAAGTATCGTCTAAAGTTGGCACATCCATAAACAAAGGTGTAAATATGTTATTCGGAGTTAGCCTCCAGAATCACTAGAAACAGAAATGGTCAGAAGTAGTTGAACTTAACGGCGAGCCGTGGATATAAAATGGTAATATTTCATTTTGTCAAATGAGTTGTATGATTTTATTGCTGCTTTTGGACTGAACTCCTCCTTTTTTGAGCTTTTATGTGGAAGGCAAGAACAAGCTTCTTGGTTCTGGCATCGAGTGGGTTGAGAAGAGCCCCCAAATTGGCCATCAGCATATTCTTTACACAGCTGAGGTTGGATGGGGACGCAAGGACTCATCAGTGAGTCGCATGTTTTATAACTTAAAGATAATGTTTTTCAAGACTTCCTTTCCCTCCAGGGAATTAATTTCTGCAGACATTAAGTCAGATGCAAGTGAGCCCATTTGTCTCTATTCTCTTCCTTTCTTTTCATCACAGCGTGTGTTCGTGTGGGACTTGGATGAGACAATAATTATTTTTCACTCCTTACTCACGGGGACTTTTGCATCCAGATATGGGAAGGTAAGAATCCATTTATCTCTCGTTTTTTTCCAACAAGACTCTCTGTCCAGCTGATTTGTCCTGGGAATTGTGGGGGCAGTTTATGAGGCAGCCTCTCTTAACAAAAGCTGCCCCTTTGGGTCTGCCTGGGTTGGAGAAAGCCTATGGAATTTTCCCTTGACATGTGAAAATTTAATTAGCTTCCCCTTCTATTGTCTCCCATGCATTTTCTTCCAAGACATGAAGCGTTCAACGACCACTTGATAGGATATAAGCTCATAGTCGTTGGCTGTCTCCCTTCTAAGAGGGCCAGGATACACTACAACCCAAACCACTAATCCTAGCTTTAAAAAGAAAAAGGAGGTGAAGTCTTTTTCTTCTTCCCTATTGTTTATCTTAGTGTCTCCAGCAGATGAATTTAATTTTCCTTCCGTTTTCTGAGACAAGGCGGGGAGGCACTTTGTCAGCTCCAGCGTGGAACTTAGCAACAGCTTTACAAATGTATCATCAACAAATTATGTTGGGGAACCATCCAGTTAGAAATCTGGGCAAATGCTATCGGCTGATTGGTGGGGAATGGAAGAAACATTGAAACCACCTGAATAATGCAAAAATGGACCCAACTGCTAAAACCCGAATCCTGCCTGTTCTTTGCATCCCCCCCGTGGGCCTCCCAACAAACCACATGTGGATGCTCCAGACCTCTGCCATCTCTTCAGGGAGACAGGTGGGGGTGGCGAGGTGGAGCTTCAGAGGACTGGCGAGCTTACCATCTCATCCGTGGTGAGCGACCTCTTGGCAGCTGCTTCCACGCCTGGGTAGGAACCTTGAGACTCACCAGCGCCTGGAAAATATTTCTGTTTCTGTTTAGAGACCAGGAATATGATTTGACATCACCTCATGGCTTTTGCAGCTGCTTGTGTTTTTTATGGGAGTTATAACAAGCTGGATGTGCAATTAGCAAGATAGATTTATCGTCTGCCATTATGTTGTAAAGAATATAAAAATGGTGTTGGTGGTGCAGAAATCTCTTACGGTGTAGGAATGCCGTTAATATGTCTAGCAGTGCCTGCGGGAAACCCGGGATACGTTTTTGGAGTCTGCACAGGTTAGGTAAGGGATGGCAGAGTCAAGAGCTGCAGAAAACGCCCAAGAGTGAAGCTGGCCACCGTTGTGCAAAGGTGGGCTGTTCCAAAGGGGCTGCAGTAGTGAGCTGCTCGCGAGTCTGGGTGTCCTGTGGTTTTTCCAGCCACTCTAATAAAGTCGCCTCTCCTAAGAAGCGTTCCTTCCCTCTTCTTGCCCTTAGAGATCGCCCGCTCTGCAGCTCTCTGCCTCATGCAGCCATCGGTTCTCATGATCGTGTAGGCTCTGCCACCCTAAGGATGATTCCTGTGTGTGTCTCTCTACCACTCCTTAAACCAAATTGCGGGCTCTCTCAAGACAGCGAAAAAGCCCAGGGCTGCTTTCTGAACCCCGTGCCAGCTGGTCCGTGTGATTCCTCATGCCAGCCACCTCTCTCTAACCCTAACACCTGATCCCAGCCACCGCCACCTGTCTGGTCTCCCAGCGTCCACTCTTGCCCATTACACACCCCTTCAGAGGGCTCCTCCTGAAGCACAAGCGCGGCCCTATCACGCTCCTCCTGAAACCACCCGTGGCCTCCCTAGGGACACACCCCAACCCCGGCCTCCAGGGCCCGTCAGGAGCTGGCTCTCACCCCGTTTCCTACTACTCATCCCGAGCTGCTTTCTGTCCTTGAACCTGCCACCTTCTCTCCCACGTCTGCTGGGCTTCTTCCAGAAGCAGAGCCTCACACAATTGAGTGCAGGTTGTTTGTTTGGGGATAGATTCCAAGGAGGCCCCCATGCCAAGTGGGAAAATGAGACAGGAAAGGGGAGGCGGCCAATGCAGGCACTGCTATGTGTAACTGGGGCTCGGTCCCACTGGGGACCCCGGGAGACTGTAGAACACACCTCAGAGTTGACCCGCCCAAGGAGCCAAGGTGCAGGGATATTTATCCTCAGATTCCCTTCCGTCACGGGTTGCGGGCTTCTCCCAGGGTGTTACTTCCCTGCCCTTCTGGCCTTTCCCAAGAAAGCTCTAGGAAAGGGAATCCCAGGTACTAACGGTAAAAAGCCTCTGCATGTATAGGAATGGTGACAGCTGCAGGGACCTGGGGGAGAGGCGCCCTGGAAGCCTCTGCATATCTAGCATGTTCTAGAAAGTTCTTTTACAAGGTCAAATCTTACTTATCTTTTCAATTCCTCCCAGAGGACTTTCCTAACCCCTCCCCTCCATCTGAATTGCATCCTGCCCCCTACCTGTATTTTGCATTTGTAATTATTGCCTTTCTCCCCCCTGGGATGTATGTCCTGTGAGGGCAGGGACCGTGAACATTTTTTATCAGCTCACTAAGTACAGCGCATAGGCCAGAATTGCTCAGTGAATATCGTTGCATGAATGATTCAGAAATGAAAGCTGCATGACGACAGGCACTCTTTTTCCTGTTTTGTTTATTGATTTATCCCCAGTGCATGGAACTGTGCCCCCCACAGAGCAGCCATCAAATAAATATTTGTTAAAGGAAGGAAGGAAGGAAGGAAGGAAAATAGTATCAAAACAAAAAAATCTCTAACTAATGGCCACCGGCCAAATTCAGCCTGCAGACATTTTTTGTTTGGCCCCTAGAGTGCTTGAAAAAAATGTGAATTTGACGCCAGCATTTAAAAATCAGGAGATCGCACAGACAAAAACAATCTAGGTTTCTAATTCTTCTTGAAAAATTAGAAAGTCTGACAATCCCGCGTTCCCAAGAGGCAGCAGTGAGCAGGAGCTGAGCAGGAGCTGAGCAGCAGCTGCCCTCTTAGCCGGCCGTGTGCTCTTCGGCCCGTCCGCAGCCCCCGCCTGGCCTGTTTAACTTGTTTATGGGGCCAGTCTGGCCCCATGGGGATCTGAATTTGAACATTCTTCCTAGAATTACAGAACCACAGAATGTCATAGCTAGAAGGACCCAGGAAACCATCATGCCCAATGAGTGTCTGCAGTACATAAAGAGAAACTGGGGCTCAGAGAGAGTAAGATTGCCCAGGACAGAATGAGAGTCAGACCTCAGCCTCACTTGCCTTTCTGTGTGCTCCCAGGATATACAGGGAAAGCTGTGCCAGCATCATTACTTTTCTAGAATTTTCCACTCCCTCCTCCATCTCTCTCTCAGGTGGAGGAATGAGTATTTTTCATTTACTAAGTCCAACAATGCTTGGAGAGATTCAAAATAACCGTGGCTTAAACAAGATAGAATATAGTCATACCTCTGTACTTGTCGGCTTCAGAACTCATCAAACCCTGTACTTGTCACATGTTTGATGAGAAAGAAATGTTTCAGTGCTTAGTGCTTGCTCGGGGCTCGTCGCACTTGCTAGGACCTGAATGACTCATGACAATGACCTGCAAGAGAAAATGCTTCATCATTTGGTGCTCGCTGGTTTCAGCACTCGTCACGAGTTTCAGAACAAATTAACGACAAGTACCGAGGTACCACTGTATTTTCCTAGCAGTCCAGGTGTAGCAATTCAAGCTGGTGAGGCTGCTACCTGGCACCAGGGAGCTCCTGCCGTCGCTGGAGAGTTGCCTTCATTGCCAAGATAAACCGTAGCTCACTCCTATGTCTGTATTACAGTTAGAAGAGGGAGCAGGAAAAGGGGCGGTCACACCTCTCCCTTTCATTTTATTCTTATTTTCTGTCCCTCTCTTTAAGTGCCAGACCCAGAAGTTGCACATATCATTTCCACTCACATCCCATTAGCTGGAACTTGATCACATGGCCACATCTAGCTGCAAAGGAGTCTGGGAAATATAGTCGAGTCCCATGCCTCAGTAAAGTTCAGAGACTATTACTCTCAGAGAGAGAAATGAAGAATGGATATTAGAGGACAACTAGTAGTTTCTAAAACTACCATGAATAAGAGGGAGAAGAGTGAAAGAAAAATACTGTGGAAAGATAAAATTAATTTTGTTCAAAAGTTCTGTTCAATTGGATTTGTGGGTGTGAAGCTCCAAAGAGAAGTCTGAGCTACAGCTATGAACTTAAAAGTCAAAGAAATGTAGCCGATCTAGAGGAGCAGGAAAGTGTGAGTCCCATTTTTCAGACAGAGTAACTGAGACACAAGGAAATTGTGTAGCCAGATTATTCATAACAGAGCTAAAATGTATGGCCTTGACTTTTGGCCCATAGCTCTTTCTCTTTGTGCTTTTCCAGTAGCTGCAGCCATGTGGAGATCATTATTAATACCCAGTATCAAACAGGACTCTCAGTTTGAAGCACGGAGTGTTTAAGCTACAATGGCAACTTATTGGCTCACAAGAAATGAAAAACTCAGGTGTATGTGGAATTCAGGTTGAGCTGGATCTAGGAGCTCGAGCATTATTCTCAGAGCTTGGTGTTTCTGCAGTCTGCAGCCAACTTTCTTCATGTAGCAACTCCCTCTCGGCAACCCCAGTATAAAAAAATGGAGACCTTCTACTTCCCAAATTCCAGCACAGCTCCCAGGCTCAAATCTCACGGGTGCAAACTGGGTTAAATACCCATCCATACGCCAACCTCTGTGCCTCTTACTGGCAAGCCTAGGTCAAGAGCGCACTCCTGGCATGGAGACAGTAGAAAATCAGGTCAGCTCCATCCCGACCAAGTAAACGGGGTTGGAAGGGAATGGTCCCCTGGAGGAGACTGAGGTGCTCTTTCTAGAAGAGGGTGAGGACTGTGGAAGTCCGGAGTTGGCTCTGAAGGCCAAGACCCTCTGCACATCCACACCAAGGAACAGCAGCCACTTGCTTGTGGCCATTGTGTCGAGCACTGTACAGGAAGCAGAAATCCTATCAACAGTGGTCCCAGCCAAAGGGGCACCTCACTGTTTACTTAGGGAAATAAGACCAGCAGACCTAAAACGATTAAGGAATGATTCAAAACAGAGCGTTTGAGTTTTAAAACAGAAACTGGGCTCCCTTCCTGTTCCCAGTGAGAGCAT